TGAAGAACCAAGGTCCAGAATTTCCTTCCATGGAATGCTACCACCAGCTGTACTTGAGAACTTGCTTACTCCCTCCTGCAACAGTAATAACAACTATTTATTTCCAGAAGGATTATGAGAAAAATGGAAATTACTAAAAGAAGGAAACAAGCTTAAGTTATATGCAAAATCATGGGTCTAATTTTTTTTCCTTTTTTGGCCCTTTTGGTCTAAAACCACAAATGGGAAAAATCTAAATGTCCAATCTGGAAGCAGCTGGAATCTTAAATTTTCATTTATTACTCAAGACACAAAGAAAAGAGAAAACACTCTGAAACCAATCTTCTGAAAAAAAAAAAAAGGCACAATTAAATTGCAACAGTTCAATGTTTGATTTCTAGGACTACAAGCTAGGAATAAATTTACGCAAGAAAGAAAATACCCTAAGCATCTGTTCTTCCTCAATTGTCCACGGAACCTTCTTTCTCCCCAACTGTGGAACTGCTAGGTATGTGCTGCAGAAGAAGAACAATTTAACACTTAAGATTTCATTTCAAATTAAATCAACTGGATAAATATTTTGCAAAAAAAAAAAAAAATCTCTGCATGTTCCAATGAGGAAAAAAATCATTGGGGAAGCATATTAAGGATGTCAAGTGGAAAAAACACACAGGGAAAAAGCAGAAATGTTGTGATAATCTAATGGAAAGTTATTCCTGTATGGAAAACTTACCACTTCCTTTGCTGCCTTCTGAATCTTATGGAATAGTTCAATTTAATAACCTCATCATTTTCAATATCAGAAGTATCCTCTCCATCAAAATTAAGAACAATGGGTTGTTGGTCAGGATTAGTTCTATGTTGTCGTAAAACTTCTTTTGGGATTTCTTTCGGAATTCCGGAAATTCCTGCTTCAGCTTGCCTCTGACTTAAATGGGCAGTTTCAGTGTTTTGACTGGATGGTTTGTCACTGTTGTACTCAGGGCCATCTGAAAAAGGCTGGGCCCCTTGTCTTTCGGGCTCTTTCTCAGATAGGCCCTCCTTTACCACCTCTTCTTTGCTTTCCTTTCCCAAAGTTGGGATGCATAACGTCCTTCTGTGAACATTTGTCTCATCTTCAAGGCATGGTGTGTTAACATCTCTACGTGAAATAGAAGTCAAACTAATAAACTCATCACTTTCAGTATCAGAGGTATCCTCTCCATCAAAATCAAGAACAACAGGTTGTTGGTCAGGATTAGTTATATTTTTTTTTGGTAGAAGGAGAGAATATATAAATAAAGGATTAGCAAGTTGGTACAGACCTGGGAACTGGGTTCCCTATAATATCAGAGTACAGTAGCATTCTAGTTTCAGTAGTACATTGATCCAAAATAACAAAAGAACAGGTAAGACTACATCCTGCTTTAGCTAGATTGTCAGCGACCATGTTTTATATGTTGTCGTAGAACTCCTTTCTGAATTCTTTCTTCATCTTCTCTGTGATTTACTACATGGGTAGTTTCAATGTTTTCACTGAATGCATTGTCAATGTTGTAGTCAGGGCTGTCTGATAGTTGGGCTCCTTGCTTTTCAGGCCCTCTCTCTAATAGGTTCTCCTTTACCACCTTCTCTTTGCCTTCCTTTCCGATGTTAACAATGTATACTGTCCCACTGCAAACATTTAACTCGTTTTCCATACCTGGTTTGTTGACATCTGTACATGATATGGAAGGCCCTGATTGTTGTTCATCAGCTAGATTTCTTTGAAACTGACAATCAAAACCTCTTTTTTGACTTCTTGTATTTTGTGCTCTCTCTTTCAAATGCCCTCTCTCCTAAATTCTAATGCAATTTGCCTCATCCTTCATACTTTGTGTACTGATATCTCTACACGATGGTATGTAAAACTAAAGAGGTTAGAATTGGGAGACTTGCCCCAGTCGAAGAGCATCTGTAGCAAGGCAGCAATGGTATGTGATTCTCTTGAATGGATTATAATTTGGAATTGCTATAGCCTAAGGTGGTTCCCTCTTTATCTTCCTCTGCTTGAAAATGGACAACCATCTCCTCCTCCTTCCCTCAAACAAATTGTAGTATGACCACAAGAAAGGTGGAAATCTTTGGAGTGGGATCATCCGAATGCAGAGTGTGTCCTTCTACCCTTCTATGGAAGTTATCATTCGTTTCCTCTTGAATTAATAGAAGCGCGTATTACAAGGTTGGAGTTCACCGATATTGATAGAGAGGATACTTGGCTACTACCATCCGTACAAGAATTATCTATTAGTGGATGCAACAACTTGAGAAGTTTAGAAGATATCTCTGCCATTAAAGATGCAATAGAATTGAAGCGCTGTCGTATTAACGCTTGTGAAGGCCTGGAGTGTGTTCTTTCCTCATCCATAAATCCACTGGTCCTAAGGCTTGAGGTTCTGGATCTTTATAGGTTGGAAAAGTTGGCTGCGCTGTTTGAAGCAGAAGTCATTACCAAAGTCCCCACTGCCACCAGCCCACTTTTTCATCTCTTAAAACATTAAGTGTTTGGTTCTGTGATAAAATAAAGAAGTTGTTCCCCATTTCGGATGTATCTCCGAAGTCTAGAAGAAATTAGCATTGCTTATTGCCATCAGATGGAAGAAATAATAGCATGGGATGCAGAAGAAACAGAGGAGCAAAAGAAGGGGTCACCCAACTCATTTTTCCAAAATTAAAGAGTTTGACATTAACGTACTTGCCCAAA